AAAAAACTTTTTCTAGGGGGTACCCTTTAAAACTGGGAAAAAACCCTTTTTTTAAAAAAAAAAAAAAAAAAATTTTTTAACCATTTCCGTTGGCGGTTTCGAAAAATTCAAAGAATTTTCATTTGTCCAAATGAATTCTCCTGTTTTACTGCCAAGGGGGCCCCCTAAAAAAGAATTTTTCCTCAATAGGTGTAAGTTTCCCATTACAGAATTGCCTTTTAAAGGGACTGGTACAGGAAAGGATTTAAAAAATTCACAAAACTGAAGTCTTGGGTTTACAGATTTTAAAAAAAAGTTTTTTGCACATAAAAAATTTTTTTTTAGTTATTTTAACGGGCTCAAACGTACGCCGTGTTGAAAAAATTTTTTTAAAATTTTATAGGGGAGGTTTGTGTTTTAGATATAGGGTGCAAGGTTAAAAGGGATTTTCAGACGAGCAAGTCCCGTTTCTACACTTGAAACAAAATTGGAAAAAATTTGGGAACCAGATCCCCTCCCTTTGAGGGAAAAGTACTGAACAAGAGAGGGATTTTTTCCTAGGGAAGAAAATCTATTTCCCATTATGAGGTCATGATGAAGATCATCAAATACATGGACTTTTTAGGAATTTTGGCCCTTTCCTATTTTAATTTCCAACCCTAATGCCTTTCCCTTTACTGGTAATTTTTTTGTTTTTTCCCCTAATACCTTTAAAATACGGGAAAAATCGCCTTTTTGGAGAAAGGGAATTTTTTTGGGGAAAATTTTTTGTAAAAGGGGTTTTTTTTTGCCCAAAATATACTTAAAACCGAGTCAACAAGAACCTGCCCAAAAACCCCTATTTTTATATTTGACATCCCCTTTTAAATTTTTTCAACCTTGTTTTTGTAAAAGAAGAAATGTTTTCAAAGTAAGGGAAATTTGTTTTTTGGGGCATTTTAAATTTTAAATTTAAAAACCTTAAAAATTTTGTTGGGCCTGTTTTTCAAATTTTTTTATTTTAATACTTTAAAAAGTATTTTTTCTTTTATGTTAAACCTTTCCAAAAAAGGGCCCCCCTTTTTGGGGAAACCACTGGGAGCTGGCCCCTATTGTTTTATTTGGTTTTCTTTTTCTATTGTTGACAGGGGGTGGGCCCCTTTTTTTCCCCGTTTTTTCATAAATTTTTTCTTTGGGGGGAAAAAATTATTGCCGGTTTTTTTAGGAAAATTTTTTTTTTTTCCCCATATGTTTGCACAAAACTTTATGGTTATTTAAATTTTTTCCTTTTTGGTTAGGGTTTTGGGCCAAGGGCCTTTTTTAAAAGTCCGTTTTTTTGATTTTTGTTGGGGTTTTTAAACTTTTTCTGTATTAACTTTTGCTTGAGTTTTTTGCTTTTTGGTTGGCAATTTTCCCCTTAATTTTTTCGATTTTTTTTACACCCAAGCTTTTTTAAGTAGAACGCTAAAGGGGTTGGTTTTTGGGGAAAAAAATTAACCTTTGGGGGGGGTATCACTTGGGGGGGTGTCAAATTTCGCCAAAATTTTTTCTTTTTTATTTTTAAAAATTCCCCAATTTTTTTTCAAATCTTGCCTTTAAATGTGAGATAAGACAAAACCATTTATTATAGCCCTTTTAGGAAAAAACCAAATTAATCTTTCAATATCCTCCTTTAACCTTTCCCTTTTGTTTGTGTTAATCGTTATAACGAAAATCGCCCCTTTATTGATTTATTTTGGGGAATTTTTGGTTTCATTAGGAACAAAATTTCAGAAAGAATTTTTAAGGATCCAAAATACGGCTTTCCAAAATCGTAAAAATAAACTTCTTTTAAAACTCAAAAAAAAATTTATTTTTTTCATTTTTTCTTCTGGAAATAAGAAAAGAAACACCATTGGGAAAGTAACCCCCCAGAAGGGTTATAAAGGCCCCAAATTCGATATCCTTTTTTTATGTTTAAAGGTTTATCGGCCAAATTTAAATAGGTTGTATTCTATTTAGCCCCATCACCCCGGGGGCCCGGGCTCATCAAAACGTGCCGAAAGTCAAAACTTCCCACGATGTCACAATAACCAAAAGGGGCCTACCTTTTATTTCTGGTGTTGGTTCCATTATTTCTTCTCGTGGGATGTCTGACGTGCAGGTGGAAACTTCTTTTGTTGTAGTGAGCCTGTTTGATCTTAGGTTGTGCAAAAATTCTGGTTGTGGTTGTCTTCTGCTCATTCAATGAATACCCAGATTCTTCACCAGTTTTGACAGGGGGATCTTTGCGTTGTATTGGCTTTGTATTTTTGGCTGATTTACACTGAACAGGCAGACACAAGTTTGTTGATAAAACAGAAGCATTTTATTTTGATCATATTGTTATAAAATCATTAAACAAGAGAAGTTTTTTACCTGAACAAGCAGACACAAGTTTGTTCTGAATTTATACTAAAAGGGTAGACTAATAAATGTCATCTTGTCAGGAAATTACTTATTAAATATTATATACATGAAACATTAAAATGATATGACAAATTTGTAAAACGTTAGCTACAATCATTTTCAAATACACTATAGTGCCTGAGGGAGCTGTCTGTCTGACAGCTCACAACTGTGTGACAACAGTCTAGGACAATAAATCTACAAATACTTAATATATCCACACAAAAATAATCAGGCGCACAACTACACATGCTTATCAACATGACCTGTAAAGTTTTATGACCATAGGTCGACTACTTATTTACCTACATGCGACGAAAGTTAAAAATTGCGAATTTTTATTAAGTCAAGGGCAAAAACTCTGACAAAACAGAATAAATCCCTAAACGGAAACCAAAAACCATTGTAAAACCATAACAATGTGAGGCTGAAAACAATGTTTAATAGGGATGTAGATCGTCGGAAAAGAGACGATCTGATCCGATCAACTACTTGTGATTCACAAATCAAACCACAAATCTTTTGTTATAAACAGATTCAAGATACCCATAGAAACAGGAACATTAGTTCTAAACATAAGTTCTGACCTTTTACATTTAAAACCTTTTAGATTTTGACCCAAAAATCAAAAGTATTCATGAAGTGTCAAAGACCAATGCTGCTATGAAGAAACTAGGACAATTGAGGCATTATATCTTATGTCAAAAAAAAAATGTAACAAATTTTTTCTTGGTGGGCGGGTGGAAGGGGGGGGGCTCTATCCTTGAACTGGAAATATATATAAATGATTCATCCTATTTTCTTTAGTTGATATTATATATGTTTTACTTCTGAAATATACGTCAGTGTCTTATTCAAAGATTGCCAATTTTTCCTGATTTCCTTTATATTTTGATCCAGGGAAAACTAATTCAGTTAAAGGGATATTCAGGCAAAATAATGACAAAAATATCAAAATGATCTTATGTTCTCAAATCACGCTGAAATGACATTTCTGAAAGTTCCAGCATAAATTTTTGTTTAAAGTCTACATATTTTTGGTTTGAGGCTTAAATATATCCATTTTATTGAACAAAATTTAGACGCCAATAAAATCAACGAATAGTTTTAAAACAAGTCATGTCACTAGAATAAACCCTCGAAGTTACAATAAAATATATTGTGGATATTGTAGGATTGAAACAAGTCAAAGTCATTCACTTGACATGTTCTTTAACGTTTCCAGAGTTCACCGTGACAACTTTTGTGAAATCCTAGTGCTCTAACCTGACCCACGCGGGTCAAGTTAGGAAACCACCATTTTATTTTTTCTACGCAGAAAAGTTTTGTTCTTTTGACTGTCTAATGTATTAACTTTGGGGGCATTAACAGAATAATGAATGAAAAATCCAAAACTAAGAAATGAAAATTTTGCCTGTGTCTCCCTGATATCTGATATCCCAATGTGAAATGTCAAAACAATTTAGCTTTTAATAACAAAACATGTAATCAGTGGAAACCATTCTTGTGACCTTGACCTTTGAACTAGTGATCCCAAAATAATAGGGGTCATTTACTACATAATGACCAAATCAATATGTGAAACATAAAGACTATGTAATAGATAGTTATTTAAAGTTTTCAAGATAATGAGTGGAAACCATTCTGACATTGAAGACCCCTGTGACCTTGACCTTTGGAAAAGTGACCCCAAAAGGGGTCATCTACAACATACGATCAGCCAATTTTGAAATATGAAGACTTTGTGATAAATAAATAGTTTTCAAGAAAATGAGTGGAAACCATTCTGACATTTAAGGCCCCTGTGACCTTGACCTTTGGCCTAGTAATTCCAAAATCAATAGGGGTCTTTTACTATTTAAGAACAATCAGTATATGTCATATGAAGACTTTGTAATATATAATTTTTAAGATAATCAGCGAAAACCATGTGGTGTACTGACACACATACCAACAGATAGACTAACATAGCAAAAGAATATAGCCTCTTTCTTGGGGTCATAATTATATACTATAACATCAACTTTCATCACAAATAATACAAGTCAACAATATTAAATAAACAATGTATATTTCCTGGAATACTTTCCCAACAAAAAAAAATAGCACAAAAAGTCATTGAAGTAAGTATAACTAATCTTTATCTCTGTGTCAAATAATCGATGAAACTCGAGTTTTATGTTTTTGAAAATATGGAATACATAGTAATCTATATAGATATTATCCAGAACTTGGCAAATATGTTTTTTCCCCAGATAATCCATTGGTACAAACAACATTTTCAAAGCTGTCTCAGTAAAAGTTTGTTTGCACTTACGGAATAGCTTTGAAACCCCAAATATTCTTAATTCAGAAGTTAGTCTATTATATTACATTTTAGGTAAAACATGGCAGTCTCAGGAAAGAAAGCATCAAAACAATTTTCATCATCAACAACATCCATAGCATCAGATGAAGATCTTCAAATTTACTGCCAGCCTTGTGATGAGGAAGGCGCTAGACTCCCTGCCCATGGATACTGTACTGACTGTAAGGAACACCTTTGCAAGACATGCTTTAAAGCCCATAAAAAAAATAGTCTTTCGAAAAAGCATGCACTTCTGGATGCCACAAGTATGCCTAAAGTTTTGCAGCAACCCTCAACATACATTCACACAGGCCTGTCAGATGACCTGACCTTGTCGTGTAGTAAACATCCAAAGGAAATGATCAAGTTCTACTGTTATGATCATACAGAATTTCTCTGCAGTGTTTGTGTTACCCTTTTACACCAAGCTACTTCCTGTAAAGTCAATTATATATCAGACATTTCTGTTGATATAATAGACAGCAAAGAGTATCAAGTTATATTAAATGCAGTAAAGAACACTTGTGACCAATTTCAACAGAAAGTAGAAGATGTCAAGAAAATGACATATATATCCAACAGCTCTCTCAAAGATGCATTGGCAGCAATCAAAAAGTTTCGGCAAGAAATCAACCAAAGACTAGATGAATTTGAGAGACAGGCTGGAGATGCAGCTAAAGTCATGGAACAAGAAAACAACAAACATCTGAAAGCAGTAAAAACAACATGTGAAGATATAACAAAATCTCTGAAGGTATCATCAGACAAAATCAAACAACTGAACACATCTAAAGAAGCTCACAAACTCTTCATGGAACTCAAACTTGCTGAGAAAACAATGAAAGATATGGAGGAAAAAGAACTCAAACTTTTTTCATATGATATCAAAGAGCACAACTTTAAAGCAAATGTGGCTATATTAAAAAAGCTTAAAGCTGAGAATTTTTTGGGTACATTGACACAGAGAACTTTAAATAAAGAAGCTCTACCCATACAAATAAAGTCTAGACAATCTTCACATAAGGGAGGCATACATGTGAAGACAGCGCAAGATGAATTTAGATGCTGGATAACAGGAATGACTCTGCTGACTCCTGATCTTCTTATCATCACTGACTACAATAACAATGCTGTAAAGATGGTGGATACCAGCAGTCAATCTGTGTTTGATCAACTACAACTGGATGATAAACCATGGGATATCACGACAGTAATCAGTACTGAACTTGCTGTCACACTTCCTGACAAACGCGCAATACAGTTTATATCTATCTCATCAAACAAACTCATAAAGAAGCACACTATGAAGGCTGATGGAGAGTGTAATGGTATAAGCTATTATCAAGGTAAATTTGTTGTGTCATTTGTTTATCCAACGATACTTCAGATCCTTGATATGAATGGCACTATACTGACAACAATAGATGGAAAAAATATTTTCAGACATCCTCATTATGTCACATGTAACAGAACTTCTATTTATGCATCTGACAGGGGGATGAAGACAGTAACAAGATTAAATTGGCAGGGTAATGTGATAGATAGTTATAGTGGTATGCGTTACCCTATGGGAATGTCACTTTCAGATGATGGTACTGTCTTTGTGTGTGATCCGGGGAGAAGAAATGTTATAAAAGAGTTATCAGGAGATTGTTCTACAGGAAAGAAGGTGTTGAAGCATCTGAAAAGTCCATATGCTGTTTGCTGGTGTGAGGAAACAAAGAAGCTGTATTTCAGTGCTGGACAAGCTGATGAGAAATATGACAACTTTCTTCACATCTATAAACTATCATAAACATGAGCAAAATGTTTAGATATTTTGACTCTATGTACACACATAATATATAATTATGCTTAGATGGGCACTTAAATCCAATATAGCAATACTTTTCAATGAAGTGTTTTGATATCAAAATAAATGTGTGTAATCAGAAGCTTATAAGTCGCTGTTAGAAACCAGCGGCTATTTTTGTAACAGTTTAATATAATATCTAGGTTAGGAGAAGGCCTTAAAATAAAAAATAAAAGGAAATCAATTATTGAACAATTAAGGTGACAACGGAGTCAGCTATCACTGAAAATACCTAAAATGAGATTTTTGCTGAGTAGATTTATCAACCTTTTCTGAACACATTCGTGATTTAATTTTGAAAGCAGTTAGTCCAAAAAATGTGTTTTTAAACGTTTTAAAACGGTATCTGTACCATTTTTATCTGCTATTCGCGTAACCTGTCAATTATCGATAACGCTCCGCCCCTTGTTGAGGCATCAATGAGGGAAATCGGTAGTTCAATATATCCGTGAATTACCGGTCCATACTGCGTAATTCATGTATTGTACAAATACCGTACATCTTTTATGAATATCGTTTACCTTTTATTTGGCATTTTTTTATAAAATAAGAAATTGTCGGCAGATGTACGTAACATAATGTATGAAACATAAATAATAAAGCATAGCGGCAAATCGCACGACCACGGGGTTGATTAAAAAAATAGTTGCTAAATTATCCATAATGTGTGAAAATAATTTGTCTGTCCCGATAATCTGATAGATATTACATTGAGTTTATGGACTTTTGTACGGATTCAACGGCTTGCTTTGCTTTCAACCTCGTTTTCTAACAATGTCAATTTAAACAACAACAAAAACAGACAACATTTTTTATGTGAACGCCTATATGACTTGTGGTAAGGTGTCCCTGACAAATTTCTAAACCATTTTAGATTGTTTAAGGATGATTATGTCTCTATGAATCAATAAAAAAAGATATTAATATATATTATTAGTGAATGCTTTAATTATATTGTTCGCCAGTAAATCGAACACAGTTCTAATAAACCTGGGACAAAGAATGGAATTTATTGTATACCCCAGTAGAAACTGGATATCTATGCTGTTCATAGATGATTTTCATGATAATAGAAGTCAAGAAGGTCAGATCATAATGATCGAGTGATACCTTTTATTTCTAGTAAAATATGTGAAGCATTTATATCAAATTGGAAGAAAAAATATATACACATGTAATATCCCGTTCTTATTTGTACATCTACCATGGCCTTTAAAATACCGTCAGAGGCTCAGTTATTTGTTATTTTAATTTATATTTTAACGGAATTTCATACACGAATACACAGACAGAGTGACACTGGTATAATATAATAATGATGCTGATGATAATAATAAACAAGATTGCATTTGAGAAAAATGCTATGCCACCGCATTAATACAACACTTAATAGTAGTGTAGGAACAGATTTTTTTTGTTTCTATTCAATTTTGAAGATTGTCATAATGCATAGATCCCTGACCTATCTTATTCTTATTACCAGATTAGTGGTTAAATCTGTTGTTAACTCAATAAAAGATCAGAGTAGGAATATATCATTGCACTCAGGTCTAGTGAATTTGGTGATGAAGGTCATATTTCACACAGCCTAAATTACATCAAAGGACAACATAGTAAGACACTTTGTCAAAATCTAGGTCAGCTGAAATAAAAGTTCACTTTACATCTTAATCAGTGTGCACATGGTTCAAATTTCATAGATGTATATTAAAGGACAAGAAAGTAGGTCACATCATCAAAATCTAATTCACCTGATATCAAAGTTCAATTTTACAACTAAAACTGTGCACATGGTCAAAATTTCATTGCTGTACATCAAAGGACAAGAAAGTAGGTCACTGTCCCCTCGGGAAAGGCAAAATTTTTGACCCAAGGGTTTAATTCAAAACAATCTTGATACAGGTCCACCAAACAACATTTCAAGTCAAATATCTAAGCTGTAGCTTTCTCCCATTCAGAAAACATTAATTTGTTTTATTTTTTGTTTTTACTATGTGTACATAATGAGAATCACTGCCCCCCGGGCAGGGCCAATTTTGACACCAGGGGAAAAATTTGAACAACTGTGGTAGAGGACCTATAGATGATATTATATAGCAGACAACAATGCTTTATGCCTTGTACCTTCAGACAAAATTTTTTTTATATTTTTTTACTACATGTAAATAATGAAAAACAATGACCCCCGGGGCGAACCAATTTTGACCCCAAGGCTATAATTTGTACAATCTTGCTAGAGGTTCACTACATAATGTTTCATGCAAAATATCTTAACTCTAGCCATTAAAAATATGATTTTTTAAGTTTTTACTATATACATATAAGGAAAACCTATGGCCCCGGGGGCGGGGCTAATTTTGACACTAGAGACAAAATTTGAACAACTTTTGGTAGAGTTCCTATAGATGATATCATTTAACAAATATCAAAGCTCTAAGCCATGTACCTTCAGACAATAAGATTTTTTGATTTTTTACTATATGTATATATTGAAAATCAATGACCCCCGGAGCACGGGGGCAATTTTGACCACAGGGCTATAATTTGAACAATCTTGCTAGAAGTTCACTTCACAATGTTTCATGCAAAATATCTAACCTCTTGCACAAGTTTTTACTATAAGTGTTTACTATATACATTTAAGGAAAACCAATGACCCCCGGGGAGGGCCATTTTGATCCCAGGGCTATAATTTGAACAATCTAGGTAGAAGTCTACCAGACAATGCCTTATGCAAAATATCTAAGCTCTAGGCCTTTTGGGTGTTTACAAGAAGGTATTTTAAGTTTTTACTATATGTACATATAGTGAAAATCAATGACCCCCGGGGCGGGGCCGATTTTGACCCTGAGGCTATAATTTGAACAATCTTGGTAGAGGTCTACCAGACAATGCCTTATGCAAAATATCTAAGCTCTAGGCCTTTTGGGTCTTTACAAGAAGGTATTTTAAGTTTTTACTGTATGTACATATAGTGAAAATCAATGACCCCCGGGGCGGGGCCGATTTTGACCCCAGGGCTATAATTTGAACAATCTTGGTAAGGGTCTACCAGACAATGCCTTATGCAAAATATCTAAGCTCTAGGCCTTTTGGGTCTTTACAAGAAGGTATTTTAAGTTTTTACTATATGTACATATAGTGAAAATCAATGACCCCTGGGGCGGGGCCGATTTTGAACCCAGGGCTTTAATTTGAACAATCTTGGTAGAGGTCTACCAGACAATACCTTATGCAAAATATCTAAGCTATAGGCCTTTTGGGTCTTTACAAGAAGATTTTTTTAATTTATTCTTATTATTCGTTTTGGTTGCCATGGCAACCTGAGTTCTGCATGGAACGAAATTCTTTGAACAACTTTGGAAGCCCTTCACCCAAGGATCAATCCTGCCAAGTTTAGTTGAAATTGGACTACTGGATGTTCACAAGAAGATTTTTTAAGTTCACTATATAATCTATAACACACACACACACGCACGCACGCACGCACGCACGCACGCACACACACACACACACACACACAGGTGAATCGCTATATGCCACCGCATCGCAGATGCTGCGGTGGCATAAAAACTTCAAAAGTGAAACAATGAAATACCCCGCTAGCGGTGCGCAAATACGTTCCATTTCCCCCCACCGAGTGCCTCAAATTTTACCGAAAGTCACGTGACATGTGCGACCGATACCAGACGGACACAAAATCACGTTAAGATTTGAAGAAATTTCTGTTATAAACTGATACTAATCAGCAACTTTTTAATTGGTCAGATGTCACTTGGTCATAAAATGTTGTTAGAGTATGTTACCGCAACCTGTGACCCTCTCTGGTGCGATATTTGTGTATTATGCAATTATTTAGCGTGAAACTTAGGGGTCCGAGAGAGAACAGCCGATTTATGACACTTCGTTTGATGCGGGTCGGACTAACCTTGAATCGGCATAACTTTTTTTAATAATCAAGCAATTAACATGCGGTTTAAAGCACATGAAAGGGAATTCATTTACGGAGGGAACCGTGTCAGGAATTTTTGTTTGCTCAATCAGCGACGTAATAATCTTTAATTACGTAATATGTATGGTGAAAAAAGTCGCATAAATTGTTTGACGTTACGTAATATTTTTTTTGGACAAGATAGAAAAAATCTGATACAAGGTTCCCCAGATATTATAAGTATGATTATTTTCCAAAAGTTTGATAACAAAAAAAATAAAAGAAATGACTTTGATATGGCGATTTAAAATTTTAGGATTTTTATTAAAAGTCAATCATTTACAAAGGCATTTTTTCAAATATGATATTTTTTATGATGATCAGCGACATTTAATGCACAAAGATTAAATAAATAATAATTATTACTAAAATAAGTTGGTTTAAATGACATTTATGTGAGTACCACGGAAAGTGTCTGTTGTCACCTTAAAGACCACAATTATTATTCATAAATCTTAAAAATTCAAACATATAATAACGTTGCTCAATGAAGTGAAATATACAAATATTGACATCATTTCAATCAAATAAAATGAATTAATAATATATCCCTATTGATAAGTCATTGAATTTAGGGATACCTTTACTTTTTTAAGTGTCAAGCATTGCTATTTCATGATAAATAGATCATGAATGATATTTGACACTTTAAAATTATTAAGTTGTTTATATATTATGAGACCTATTCTATTTTATTATTTTATTTGATCATAAACAATTTCTCCCTGTTCTTTTGTAAGAATCATGTGTGATAAAATCTATTAATAGTAACAAATTGCTGATATGATATACAGGTAACTTGTGAGTAGTTGGCAAAAGGTATGGCGTGTGATAAAATGCAAATTATAGCAATTTGTATGAATAATTACAAAGTTATTTAAATTAATCAGATTCATATTTTATATTATTAGAAAGTCTGTATGCTCATATTTTACACGTTAAAAAAATAATT